AATGAATAAAATAGAAAGTTAAATGCAGTAAAATCAACACAATGATTTTACGTGGAAACCTCCTTGCTTAAGGGAGTAAAACCACGACCTGTCTCACAGGATTTTCAATCATTTTCACTAATCTTCAAAAGTAAAAGTAAAACACGATTACACTAAACGTAAGAAAGAGTTATAAATCTTACAGTTAAGCAATAGTCCCTCTTGATTAACAAGCCTAAGGAGAAAACTATCTAACCACTAAGCTATCCCACTTGGACAACCAAGACTTTTGACACTACACACCGATTCCTTTATAGATTCAGGAATGGTTTACAGTTTAAGAACAAGAGAATGTATTCCTAACCAACTAGAAGAAAAGCTCCAGAGATTGCTTTTGTTCTTGGAATAATTTTGCCTTTGCTTTGTAGTAGCCTTTGCAAGAGTTCTTGAAAAGTTTTTATCAAGTTGCAAAAACAACACAAAATGTTTAGGAAAGTGCCTTTTATATGGGCAAGTCACTTTTCTAAAAATCTTTTCCATTGGCTGGAAAAGTCACACTTTCTAACGCCATCGGGAAGTGTGCACCTACTTTCTGTACCGTCTCCAACTGGCAGCCAACTGGCTCGTCATCATGAGAGCCTGGTACCTCAGCTAGGTCCCTGGGTTTGTTTCATCTACAGTACTCAAGTAGGAAACCTGCAATACTCAAGTAAGAAACCTGCAATACTCAAGTACGAAACTGGTACCTTTACAAGGTCCCTAAGTTTGTCTAATCATCAAAACTACAAATAACATCAAGTCTCCAATTCATTAACACTTTCTTGTGACGGTCCTCTTGTCCTAATACTAGAAAGTCAGTTTTAGAGTTCTTAGTTAAACATTGAAGCTTATTGATTTCTTGGAAATCAAAGAAGCAAAGTGTAGTATCAAGAAGGTTAGCAGAAGTTGCGTACATACATCAGCATGACCAAAGCAGTTTCATAGGTAGTATGGTTGACTGGTTTAGTGAAGGAATTGAATGGTGCACTACAAGTTGCACCAATTTGGTGTTTCATGACCGTACTAAACACATCGAGATAGACTTTCATTTTATCCGGTAGAATATAATTTGCATGCCGTATGACACCTAATTAATTTACCATCCGAACTATATTTATAGTTGTTGCTATTCTTTTTCTCTATTATCTTCACTAATATATTCTCGTTGTATACATGCATTTAAATATTTTACTTGAATCATGAGTTTTATGGAAACAAACTATCTAACTTCAAGGTTGATAAGGTTTTGGGTGGTTTTCATTTCATTTCTCTTAGCTTTATTTTTACTTGACACGAAGATTATAAAAGCAAGAAAAAAATATCTTTTGAATTTATTAGTTAAAAATTAACCAAATTGTCAAATGTATCAAAATGTCATTTAATTTTGAGAATTTAAAATGTCAGTAAAAAAATAAGATTAATTAGTTGCTGAAAAAAAAGGAAAGTGTCATTCTTTTTTAAATGGATTAAATATGAAAGTTGGCAAACAAATTGGAACGATATTTATTTCCCCTTTCAAAAGTCCTTATTTTACAATTAAGGAGTGAGGTATTTGACCAAGATTTTTAGAGAAAAATAGCAAAAGGTGTGTTAATGAAAAAATAATTTTATGAGAAGCACTTATGTGAAATACATATACGCAGACCATACACTAGTCAACTAATTTGTGCAGGTAGAAAGGTTATTTCCATAAGACACTCGACAACAAATTCATGTACAAAGAAGGAGTTAGTGAAGAAACTATATAGCAATTAAAATGTAAGTAGTGCAAAGTGTACCGAAAAGACTCAAAACAACAATATAATAGTGTGATAATTGAAACACACTGAACAATAGTATATTACTAGTACAATGACAAACGACAACCATCCAAAGCAAGATCAACACTATACCTTCTAACCTCTATCTAAGTATGTGTCCTGCATATCCTTCCATCTAAAATCATGTCCTCAGAATCTAAGGTTGGGTTATCTCTTGTTTAATGTGTTTTTATTTCTATAATTTGGTTTTATTTCCATTATTGGTCCCTTAAAGTTGTTACCAATTTTTACTTGTACACTTTAATTGAGCTTTGTTTATGATAGACACCTTATGTCGGTTCTCGCTATACTCTTTTGACACTTCTATCTTACATGAGAATGGAGATAGTGAGTGTGATACACAGTTACTGCGCGTGAAAGCCTTGTTTCACTACTTTGTTTTGAAAAAGAAATTCTCTTCTTTTTTTCCATTTTCTAGCTACCATTTTCCAAACTTAAATTTTTTCTATGGTAAAACATATTTGGTGATGCCACAAATAACAAAGTGAGTTTCAACCCACAAGATTTTCTAAAAGTTTCAATTTCAACATTACGAAATAATAATCATATTTCTTTTCATGTATTGAATTATTTTCACAAACGAGAATTGCAAAAAAAAAAAGATAAGAAAAACGTTCATTGTTATTTAATAACAAATTTTTAGAACTAAGAAGAAACAATCGTACTTTTGTAAAATAAGTTTTTCAAAGTAATTAAATTCTTTTAAAAGTGTTTCATGAAAATTTGATATGGGTGAAAAAGGAGTCGAGGTTTGGAGTGGGTGGGTGAGGAGAGGACAATCTTGTGGCTGGTGGGGTGGAAGAGCGATTGGGTTTGGGATGGATAGGGGTGGAGGAATATCTGGTGGTTGGTGGGGGTGGAGGGCAGTTGAGGTTGGGGTGGGTGAGGGTAGTCAGAAAACGGGGTTGGGTGGGGTGAAGAAGACGAATGTGTGGGGCAATATGGCGACATGAGTTTTTCTTTAGAAAAAATAATTGTTTAAGTTTGGAATGCCACGTGTCATAAAATTTGTGTCCATTTTATCTACTAAAGTCATTATTTGAATTTTTTTTATATATACCACAAGTCTTTATTTGATTCGTCACTTTGACACGTAATCAACGAGTGTATTACACACACTTGTATATGTGAATGATAGTTAAAAGTGTCAAAATAAAACAACGAGACCCTACCTTGTCTAAAATTAACAAAGCTCAACTAAGGAGTCTAAGTGAAATTTAGTGACCTATCAATTTGAATTTGAAATTTCTGATCTTTATCACTACTAAAAAATTCCAAAAAGAGACGGACAAAAGTGTCGTCTCTTTTTAAATGATTTTTTTATTTACATTGTGTACTTTTAGGAATTGGAATTGAAATGTAATTAACAACAAACAGTTTTAAGCACAAATTTAAATAGTACATAGCAATAAATTTGTTATAAGAATTATATTAGGTCACAAAGTTATCTCTTTCGGTAAAAATAAAAGTAATCATATCGCTGCATTTTTATATAATATGAATTGTTTATATTTAGTAACAAAAATAATTAAAATAATAATTATTATTTTAAGGAGAAATTAAATAATCATTAATACCCAGCTATTATATTTTTAAAAAAAAATTTCAATCACGAAATTGTTATCTTTTAGTTCTGGAATCTTAATTATTCTGTTTACTATAAATTATGCATAACGATAATGACAATCAAGATCATCACGCATTGTATCAATCTCTCTTTTCTCTTCATAGCTTAAGTTTCTCCGATGAGTATTGTTAATGGAGTTTGAGTGAAAATCAAGTACATAGTCGTCTTTCAAGGATAATCTCTCGTTATGAACTAACTTTTGGGTTGAGTTAGGTCCAAGTGTCATATATCTTTAAATCAATTTTTGTTTGCGATTAAATGAATCTACAAAAATGAAAACGTTCTATGTAAATTTAGACGGAAAAAGTATAAAATGAATTTGTGGTTACGAATAAAGTGAATAAAAACAACATTCTATTTATTGAATTGACATGTCCAAAAAGGTAAAGATGCATGAACGTGATAGAACTAGTAAGTAAGTAAAGTAACGTGATGAAGTGACATTTATATATATGCAAAGCTTACTCATCCTGAACAAGAGGTCCATCGATCGTTCACAAGCAGATAATAATTTTTCAATCAACAAGTTAATACAAATGTAACTACATAGGATCTTGAAGAATTAATGCAGAAAAATTATGATGATATGCTAGAAGATAAGACTAAATATCAGGAAAATGTTGTATTTGACATTAACAAGGTCTTATATAACCAATGTTGTACAAACACTTGTCAGTTCTTAGAACTACCTAGTAAGGGTCATGAAATATATCAAGAGAAAACAAATTCTGAGGATTTTGTTGAGTTGTCAAGTCTCCAATTCATTAACACTTTCTTGTGACGGTCCTCTTGTCCTAATACTAGAAAGTCAGTTTTAGAGTTCTTAGTTAAACATGGAAGCTTATTGATTTCTTGGAAATCAAAGAAGCAAAGTGTAGTATCAAGAAGCTTAGCAGAAGTTGTGTACATACATCAGTATGGCCAAAGCAGTTTCATAGGTAGTACGGTTGACTGATTTAGTGAAGGAATTGAATGGTGCACTACAAGTTGCACCAATTTGGTGTTTCATGACCGTACTAAACACATCGAGATAGACTTTCATTTTATCCGGTAGAATATAAATTATGCATAACGATAATGACAATCAAGATCATCACGCATTGTATCAATCTCTCTTTTCTCTTCTAAGCTTAAGTTTCTCAAGTGCGTAGTGTTAATGGAGTTTGAGTGATAATCAAGTACAGAGTCGTCTATCAAGGATAATCTCTCGTTATGAACAAGCTTTTGGGGTTGAGTTAGGCCCAAGTGTCATATATCTATAAATCAATTTTTGTTTGCGATTAAATGTATCTAGAGAAATGAAAACGTTCTATGTAAATATAGCCGGAAAAAGTATAAAATGAATTTGTGCTTACGAACAAAGTGAATAAAAACAATATTCCATTTATTGAATTTACATGTCCATAAAGGTAAAGATACATGAACATGACAGAACTAGTAGGTAAGTAAAGTGAAGTGATGAAGCTGCATTTATATATATGCAAAGCTTACTTATTCTGAACAAGAGGTCCATGGAGCAGATAATAATTTTTCAATCAACAAGTGTAACCAGTAGGATATTTTTTTCCACAGACGTTGAGAAGGATGTTTACATAGATTGGTATATCCAAATGAATTCCCACAATATCTGCTTTTATGGCTGTGCACAAGCAAACCGCGGCCTCTAGGTCCACCAGTCCCCCAATCAAACTGCAGCATGACGAAGTTGGAGTAGTCCCGATAATTACACCCAACAAATCATTAACTAGATTAGTACATGCCCCAAATTTCAAAATATTAGTTGAACACTTTGCACTTTTATCAGTTGAATACTTTGCACTTACAAGAGCAAAGAAGAGGAGATTAAGTGATAAGAAAAGGGTAATAGAGGCCTGATTTTTGGAAGCCATGTCAATAAGCTAAGGTTAGGCCTAATTAATTACGCAGTTTAATTGATGATTGAATTCATGTGCTAGTAACGATGGCTATTTATACTAGTTTAATATTGCCTATTGGTAGTGCATGGCTTTTAAAATATTTAGGATTTGATTTAATTAATACTTAGTGTCTTAATTACATATTTCCTGCACATGCTACATCTATTATAGAAGACTTGCATGTAATTAGTGTTTATATATTTAATTACAAATTCCAGTTATACATATACATTCTTTTTTAATTCAAGCCATCCACTCATGTTTTCATTTAACGCTTTAGCTTCTGCCCCTGGACAAGATCCCTTTTGTCCGTCATATTCCTAGACCTGTGCACATTCTTACTGAACTTAATTCCCAAGCTTTCTGCAAGTATACATTTTTTTACCACGTTTTAATGTCAACATAGAATTTGCATGGTTTTTCGAGGTTTGATTGGCTAGCTTTCGCATGATACCTAACTAATTTAACATCGGAACTAAATTTATAGTTGCTGCTATTCTTTTTTTCTGTTATCTTCACTAATATATTTCTCCTTGTATACATGCATTTAAATGTTTTACTTGTCAAGGGTTTTATATATGGAAACAATCTAACTTCAAGTTTGTCAAGGTTTTGGGGAGGTTTACGTTTCATTTCTTTTAGCTTTATTTTTACTTGACACGAAGTTTATAAAAGTAAGAAAAAAAATCTTTTGAATTAAATAGTTAAAAATTAACAATATGTCAAATGTATCAAAATGTCAGTAAAAAATTAAGATTAATGAGTTGCTGAAAAAAACAAGAAGAAAGAAGTCATTTTTTTTAAACGAATTAAATCGAAAAGTAGGTCAAACAAATTGAAATAATATAATATTTTCCCTTTCAAAAGTCCTTATTTTAAAATTAAGGAGTGAGGTGTTTGACCAAGATTTTCAGCAAAATGTGTTTTATTGAAAAAATAATTTTATGAAAAGCACTTATGTGAAATACATATACGCAGATCATACACTAGTCTATTAATTTGTGGAGGTAGAAAGGTTATTTCCTTGAGTCACTCTGCAACAAATTCATTTACAAATAAGAAGTTAGTGAAGAAATTATATATAGCACGTAAAATGTAAGTAGCGCAAAGTATACCGAAAATACTCAAAACAACAATATAATAGTGAACTCATGCTCTTCTTCCAAGATCATATATAGTAATGCTGTAGTTTTAAAAAGATACTCAAAAATAGATATGTGACCCATACTTAAAGTAACATCTAATGCGATGATGAGAGAATACACCTCTCTATTGAGATCAGAAATTTAAATTCCTGAAAGTGTGTGGATTTATTAGGAATATGAGGATTCTCCTCTCATGGGAAAATTGAATATGAGGGCATTCAGAGGAGGAAAAACTCGAATGAGAACATTGCGCATCAACAACATGTGAATCCAGAACAATGTAACCACAAAGAGAGGGATGATAATAGGGCTGGGCGTGTTGAGCTTAACCCGCAGAACTTTCATCTGCCCCGCATAATAATTATTTTTCATTTTCTATCCGCCTCGTATTATTGTTGAGTAATATTTTCTTTTTCTAATTAAGTGTGATACTAAAAATAAAATTCATTAAAATAACTTCATTTTTATCATTAAGTTGTATTACTTTAATAGGATAGTGACTTAAAAAATTAATTTTTTAGAAGTCAATTGGAAACATGTAAGAAATTGTGTTACTATTTTTTATCGAACCATTTTTATTTACTATCTTGAACATTTTAGTAGATTTAAAAATTTTTTTTAATAAATAATATTATATCACTGGTATAACATGTAATCAAAATGTTTTCACCAAATTATTATAAATGTAATTAGCAAACAATTTTTTAAATGATCTTTTTATTTACATTGTGTACTTTTAGGAATTGGAATTGACATGTAATTAGCAACAAACAGTTTTAAGCAGAAATTTAAATAGTACATAGCATTAAATTTGTTATAAGAATTATATTAGGTCATAAAGTTCTCTTTCGGTAAAAAATAAAAGTAATCATATCGCTGCATTTTTATTTAACATGAATTGTTTATATTTAGTTACAAAAATAATTAAAATAATAATTATATTTTTAAGTAGAAATTAAATCATCATTAATACCCACCTATTATATTAAAAAAATAATTTTTCAATCACGAAATTGTTATCTTTTAGTGCTGGAATCTTAATTATTCTGTTTACTATAATTTATGCATAACGATAATGAAAATCAAAATCATCACGCATTGTATCAATCTCTCTTTTCTCTTCATAGCTTAAGTTTCTCCAATGAGTATTGTTAATGGAGTTTGAGTGAAAATCAAGTACATAGTCGTCTTTCAAGGATAATCTCTCGTTATTAACTAGCTTTTGGGTTGAGTTAGGTCCAAGTGTCATATATCTTTAAATCAATTTTTGTTTACGATTAAATGAATCTACAAAAATGAAAACGTTCTATGTAAATTTAGACGGAAAAAGTATAAAATGAATTTGTGGTTACAAATAAAGTGAATAAAAACAACATTCTATTTATTGAATTGACATGTCCAAAAAGGTAAAGATACATGAACGTGATAGAACTAGTAAGTAAGTAAAGTAACGTGATGAAGTGGCATTTATATATATGCAAAGCTTACTCATCCCGAACAAGAGGTCTATCGATCGTTCACAAGCAGATAATAATTTTTCAATCAACAAGTTAATACAAATGTAACTACATAGGATCTTGAAGAATTAATGCAGAAAAATTATGATGATATGCTAGAAGATAAGACTAAATATCAGGAAAATGTTGTATTTGACATTAACAAGGTCTTATATAACCTATGTTGTACAAACACTTGTCAGTTCTTAGAACTACCTAGTAAGGGTCATGAAATATATCAAGAGAAAACAAATTCTGAGGATTTTGTTGAGTTGTCAAGTCTCCAATTCATTAACACTTTCTTGTGACGGTCCTCTTGTCCTAATACTAGAAAGTCAGTTTTAGAGTTCTTAGTTAAACATGGAAGCTTATTGATTTCTTGGAAATCAAAGAAGCAAAGTGTAGTATCAAGAAGCTTAGCAGAAGTTGTGTACATACATCAGCATGGCCAAAGCAGTTTCATAGGTAGTACGGTTGACTGATTTAGTGAAGGAATTGAATGGTGCACTACAAGTTGCACCAATTTGGTGTTTCATGACCGTACTAAACACATCGAGATAGACTTTCATTTTATCCGGTAGAATATAAATTATGCATAACGATAATGACAATCAAGATCATCACGCATTGTATCAATCTCTCTTTTCTCTTCATAGCTTAAGTTTCTCCAGTGAATAGTGTTAATGGAGTTAGAGTGATAATCAAGTACATAGTCGTCTATCAAAGATGGTCTCTCGTTATGAACTAGCTTTTGGGGTTGAGTTACGCCCAAGTGTCATATATCTTTAAATCAATTTTTGTTTGCGATTAAATGAATCTACAAAAATGAAAACATTCTATGTAAATTTAGACGGAAAAAGTATAAAATGAATTTGTGGTTAGAATAAAGTGAATAAAAACAACATTCTATTTATTGAATTGACATGTCCAAAAAGGTAAAGATACATGAACATGACAGAACTAGTAAGTAAGTAAAGTGAAGTGATGAAGCTGCATTTATATATATGCAAAGCTTACTTATTCTGAACAAGAGGTCCATGGAGCAGATAATAATTTTTCAATCAACAAGTGTAACCAGTAGGATAATTCTTTCCACAGACGTTGAGAAGGATGTTTAGAGAGATTGGTATATCCAAATGAATACCCAGAATATCTGCTTTTATGGCTGTGCACAAGCAAACCGCGGCCTCTAGGTCCACCAGTCCCCCAATCAAACTGCAGCATGACGAAGTTGGAGTAGTCCCGATAATTACACCCACCAAATCATTAAGTATATTAGTACATGCCCCAAATTTCAAAATATCAGTTGAACAGTCTGCACTTACAAGAGCAAAGAAGAGGAGATTAAGTGATAAGAAAAGGGTAATAGAGGCCTGATTTTTGGAAGCCATGTCAACAAGATAAGGTTAGGCCTAATTAATCACGCAGTTTAATTGATGATTGAATTCATGTGCTAGTAACGATGGCTATTTATACTAGTTGAATATTGCCTATTTGTAATGCATGGCTTTTAAAATATTTAGGATTTGATTTAATTAATACTTGGTGTCTTAATTACATATTTCCTGCACATGCTACATCTATTATAGAAGACTTGCATGTAATTAGTGTTTATATATTTAATTACAAATTCCAGTTATACATATACATTCTTTTTTAATTCAAGCCATCCACTCACGTTTTCCTTTAACGCTTTAGCTTCTGCCCATGGACAAGATCCCTTTTGTCCGTCACATTTCTAGACCTGTGCACATTCTTACTAAACTTAATTCCCAAGCTTTCTGCAAGTATACATTTTTTTTAAATTAAAAAAAATGGTGCCATCCACCCACGTTTTAATAACATATAATTTGCATGATGTTTCAAGGTTTGATTTGCTAGCTTCCGTACGACACCTAATTAATTTACCATCCGAACTATATTTATAGTTGTTGCTATTCTTTTTCTCTGTTATCTTCACTAATATATTCTCCTTGTATACATGCATTTAAATATTTTACTTGAATCATGGGTCTTATGGAAACAAACTATCTAACTTCAATGTTGATAAGGGTTTGGGAGGTTTTCATTTCATTTCTTTTAGCTTTATTTTTACTTGACACGAAGTTTATAAAAGTAAGAAAAAAAATCTTTTGAATTTATTAGTTAAAAATTAACAATATGTCAAATGTATCAAAATGCCATTTAATTTTATGAATTTAAAATGTCAGTAAAAAATTAAGATTAATGAGTTGTTGAAAAAAAAGAGGAAGAAGGCATTCTTTTTTGAATGGATTAAATATGAAAGTTGGCCAAACAAATTGGAACGATATTTATTTCCCCTTTCAAAAGT